AGTTTTATTTGGTGAAGACGCTGACAAAATGCAGAGTCTTCTGACCACTCTAAGCAACAATGCAAGCATGTTCGGGATGTGATTCTCTCCCTCGAAATGCAAAATTTTGCTTCAGGATTGGGTTACATCGACACCCGAACTAGTGATAGGGAGTGAAGTTGTTGAGTGTGTCGACCGCTTCACTTATCTTGGAAGTCTCATCAGCCCTTGTGGTCTGGTGTGTGACGAAATCTCAGCACGGATACAGAAGGCTCGACTAGCTTTTACCAACTTGCGTCATTTATGGAGTAGGCGAGATATCCGTCTATCAACCAAAGGACGTGCTTGCGGTGCAGCAGTTCATTTCGTCCTAATTTATGACAGTGAAACATGGCCGGTGAGAGTAGAGGATATTCATAGGTTACTAGTGTTCGATCATAGGTGTCATCGAAACATTGCTCGTATATCGTAGGACCATGGAGTAAGTAACACAGTTGTTAGGAGACGGGTACTAGGTAGGGATGGCAAATCAATTGATGAAGTAGTGAAACTTCATCAGTTGAGATGGCTGGGACATGTGTTACGTATGCCCAACGGCCGACTGCCTCGACGAGCGATGTTCAATGGTATAGGAGTAGGTTAGAAGAAAGCTAGGGGTGGCCAGACCAAAACATGGCACACATCCATGAAGTCATTGACAAGTAGACTGAGCCATGTTGGTAGGTGTAGACTACCTGATTGGGGACCGTGAGATGATAGCAACCAATGGTTAGAGAGTAGTAATGTTATGTTCATGATAAAACTACATCTGAGAATAATATCGTAAGAGTGTTTTCAATAATATCTAAAAAAGATTAATATATACGCAGTGGGATGCAGATGTATCCAGATAACGAATACTGAAGTGAATCAAATGTCTTAAATCCTATTACTAATTGCTATAATAAAATAATAATAATAATAATAATAATATAGAGAACCTTCTTATCATTATTGGAGTTTATTATTTAGTTCTATCTAATAATAATGGGAGTATAAAGTTACTGGATTACCTTTTTAAATGTAATTCCAGCATAAACACAATGAACATTTGACATTTCGTAATCAGGTTTACGCCAATATGTACTTACAAACCAATCGTAAAAACTTCATTTGAATTCGATTTCAGCTGAATTCATATAAGAGTAATTTAAGTAAAACATGAAACAATTCGGAATTTGATCGTCCGTTTTGAGATTGTAAATAATATGAACTAACGAGTAGTATTAAAATAACACCTCGACTGCAAGTGTACACTTGACTTGGTAGTCAGGATTACATATCGTAACAAATCCAGTGATTTATATTGGTTGAAACAGACTAATAGAACTCGAGACCATCTCGAATAGATAGGATAAACCAACTGGTCAGTACTTTTCTAATCATCATCAGTAGTAACTGATGTCGAAATCTTTGCAAAAACTACCTAACTTATAATAAAAAATGTCAATGCATAATTAAGTATGAGCGTACAAAAGATATTATCGATTTAAACATTTTATATATAGAAACTGCGATTAATTCATCATTTTAATACCGTAATTTGTTATTTGACTAGCTAGGTTATACTTGCTTCGTTACTCTCATTTATCATATATATATATACGTAATCAAGACCAATGAAAACACAAGTGATCATTTTTCACCTAGTAAATATATTTTTTTTTTTTTACTTAAAAACAGTCAGAAGTCGGCAGCAGAAAAATAATTAAACATTTTTGTTCGTTCAGCAGAGTAATTATTTTCCACCAGTAAGGTAGTTAGTTAGTTGGCAGAAGATAAGGGTTATATGATGATAATGTTAAGAGTTAAAAGATAATGAATTATAACACTTTCATGAAAAATAAATGACGCAGAACTATATGTAGATAAAGTATAACACAGATAAGTACTATATGTAAGTAATGCGTTTAACTAGAAACGACTAATTTGTTATAAGCGTATAAATAAAGCAGAAACAAGAAATCATACGTCACCGAGTTCAATTAATAGATAAGCAATAGTCGATCAACGAACTTGGTGGGGCAATAAACAGTTGATTTTCATATAATGGATTGTAAATCCAGGTAAATTGATGATATACATGAACATTTTAGAAGTGGAAGTTGCTTTTTGACATTATAAAGACAATGATGACTTGTGCAATCAAAAATATGATTTCTCATTCTAGGAGTAAAGTGGATCTATTTGAACATACAAACTTTCTTTGTGTTACAGATACCCACAATTTGATAATTTGATATTTTGAAGACTAATTTAAATATATGGAAATAAACCTATTAGTAGTCTATAATGAAGGTATCTCTTAATTTGAATGTCAGTTTAGATTTCATTAATTGGGCTTTCATTAGACACTATGTGATATCAAGGGAGTTGGTATAATGATATTTCATGTATAACACATTTTTCATTTGAATTATTTATATTTTATGAAAGTATTAGACGAAAGTGAGGCAGTGACTAGGGAATTTACGTGTTCAACATCAAGCCACTAAATGGCAGGTTTGGATCCTACGTTGGGTTCAGCAACTGGATAGTATTCACTAGATCATAGACATGAATTTGCAACTCGTAAACAAGTTGGCAAATTAAACGATAATTGGGTTTGTTCACAAAAAAAGCATTACTATTTATCAATTTTAGTGTTCATTCATTAACATCCTTGGTAATTGCGACTTAGTATCATGAAATGAATGGTTCTTATACAATAAGAAAAATAATAAATTTGATATAGGTGAAAAGACGACCCTACATAACAGGTAGTGGTAATAACGTGAAAGTATTCAACTCAAACGAATAATTTTCAGTGCAACTCAATAATCACATCCGATTACTAAACTTTAAGTTATAATTCTATGTATGTCAAAGTTCATGATGTTAGCTAGTTGTTCAAACTGCATCAAAGTTAGTCGTTCGAATGTTAATAATCGTACAGTTTAACTACTGAGTCAATAATATACCTAAAAGTCTTTGACACATTCCTTATGGTTCTACTCAGTCTGCCCAATAAATACGCGAACCGAGGTCATAGCTACTTAATTTTATGAAATTACCAATTAATTAATTGAATCTTTAAAATATTTCGAATTTTCGACAATGAAATTATTTATCTTTATTTCAAGCGTTCAAAGCACACTCTGAATGGAATAAATGGTCATTCAATTCAGTTGTTTCGTTATTTAAGGTCTTTCTCAACTCAGAATATTCTGCCAGAATCGCGTATAAAGACAGTTTCTATAAATTCAGTTCAACAGCAGTCATTTTGTCAGTAATTCAAAGATCGAGAAGTACAAGAAGTAGTACTAAAATGAACAAGAACACCATTGGGGACAACCGAAAGAAATGGGATGCAAAAATTACAGAATCACTTAGTAAAAGTTGAGGGGAAATTTCTGGTTGATGAATTATCCATAATTATCAAATCAGATAGTTTGAAAAATAAAAACAACCCCAGCGTCATGCACAAAAAAAGCATGGAGTACAACTATATTTTTTATTTTCTCATATTTATTCAGTGATCCTAGGTTTTTAATAGTAGTTTAACATTGATCGGTTCATGATCTCGATAACATGAATAAATTTAGTTTCTACATAACCCATATTGTTGTATGGTGTATATCTTTTTGTATATATGAGGGGTTAGATAAACTTGACAAATTAACAAGGTCATTTTCTTTTCTTTCTCTACTCTTCGCGTGTACATATTTACATTACCATAAAAATAAACAAATAAGAACTAAGGGAAAGGAAGCGAGAGAGAGAGTGTGTGTGTGTGTGTGAGTGAGTGAGTGAGTGAGATAGAATGAGCAGGAAAAGTCCTTTTAATTGAACAATCAATAATTGGAAAATAAAAAAAGTATCCTGAAACCCTGGTATTAATTTTTATCAATGCGATTTCGTATTATTATTCTAAAAATAGACTTGTTTATACAAACATGAATAAGATAAATGAGGTCAATTTTAATAGCATTGTGGTGTATGCTACTTATATTGACATTAATAGTATATGACGTTAGTCAGGAACAGAATGTCTAGCAGCAAAGGGTCAAGAGAATCGAACAGTAAGGAATCGAAACAGAATGTAATTTGTATGAAAATGCAAGAACAATGAAATCTGAGTCATTAAGAGACAATTAGTGGATATTTTGCAAATTGCGTATTTACTATTCGATTGTTAGATTTTATTAACAAGTCCTGTAATTTTGTGTTAAATACATTCGATTGTCCCCACTCGTGTTCTGTTCCCTACAACATCTATCATTGATTTTATTCCTAAGAATATTATAATTATTATAAATAAGACAGATCCAAATTGAAGTTGAATAGAGTGTAGTGCAAATCTACAACCCACTAGTTGAGATTGTAATGATAATAATTATAACAACTATTGCTACATAATCATTTGATCATATGATCCATTTGAATAAATAGTCAAATGTATATTTTCAGTTTTTATTTTCATTAAGAAAGTTCAGTTTTTATATCATTCATTTACCATACGCATAAGTTTATATAATTGGTATTGAACTTAGATTTTTGTGTAACACTTAAATGGAATGTGGTTAACCATTGGACCGTTATCACCATCATCTAAATGTAATTATTAGTCAGTAAAGTTTAGTTGTTATTTTTTCATCACTACTGAATGAAGCTGACTATCTCTTGTGAAATAAGTATTTCACAGATTGAAATCATGAGCAGTGATAGGTCCTGGGTTCGAATCTCGCGAGGTGCGGGATCGTGGATGCGCACTGCTGAGGAGTCTCGTACTAGGACGAAACGGCTGTCCAGTGCTTCCAGGTTTTCCATGGCGGTCTAGCTTTGATTGACTCATGATTTCAATCTGTGAAATTTCTAAAACCTCCACAAGCCCCTTCTGAAAAAATAAGTATTTGTTTCATAGTAAGATGTTTTTGCTTTTCGTATGGATGAATGGGATTTTGTACCCGTCTGATTGTGATTTTATAAGTATTCATTTTTTTGTATATAATACCATCTTGAAACATTGAATTAGATGACTAAAGTACATAGTCCGCGACTATCATACGGGCTTTTCAAATCAGGCATTATTTACTGAGATTGGGATCGAGTGTAGAAAGGTAGTTAGTTAATGATATGGTACCATAATATGAAAGGCAATTGTATAAAATTTGCATGCGTCAGTGAATCACAACTAAAGACTTCGTTCTACTTGATAATCATAAACAAGGCTTATTTATAATATTGAGGAAACTCCTTTCAGGACTAAAAACCCACATCACCAAGCTTCGGAGTTTGAAACGTTATCACGAGACGTGACTGACTTTCTGTAGGACTGAGATATTAACATTTTAATTAAACACTGAATAGTGATCAATAACATGCTTATCTAGTTTTTAATGAGCTGAACGAATTTTACTGATTAAGACCATCACCATTTTTCACTTGAGATTTTAAACATTGCTTAATTCGATGGCTTGAGACGTTATCGTATATATTTCAGGATTGAGGCCAGCGGAAATCCAGATGTAATTTTTTACCTAACTCTTCATAAAATTGAAAGAAACTCCCTTAATTAAAGGAATGAATTTGTGGTTGTATTGTTATCTGAATTGTATTCCCTATTGTACATTGATATTGTTCATTTATACCTTTTTTTCTTTCCAATCCACTTGTGCGGATCATGGTTTGAGTACCCTGCATAATTTGTTGAAGCCTACAGAGGATTTTATCGCCAAAATGAATATTATTATTAAAAAAAATTAGTAACTTGGTCTGAAACAGACCAAATTTGTATGGGATTGAGAAAAAAATACTCTTGATGTTCAATTGATGAACACAGAAAACACAAGGTGTTAAGTAAAGTAAACCTTAATGATGAAAAAATGAAGTACAGTAATTCATATGTCACAGAAATATAAATGGCGACATTAAATATGAATACACATATACATAGATTCGATTCACAGCACAAACCAAACTGTCAATCTTTTCTCTATATCTCAACATAACAGTTACTTTAATGAATAAATAACCATTTTGGGTCGGATTTTAACTATTGATTAATTTCATAAGTTAAATAAAATTGATTGAGTGAAGAGCTCACTTCTCGACGAATTCATTTTCAAAGCTGTACAACAGTAAATATATATACTTCTTTTTTTCAAGGTGGTATGTGCTTATATATTGCCATTGTTATTTAGAACGGTAATTGATCAGTCTTATTGGCATATGTGTATACTGTGCCTATTGCCTCGATATTGTCTTAATTCACAAGCATTCTAAGCAAACTATTTATTTATTTGAACAGATAAATACTGGTACAAGGGGTGCACCAGATACATATACGCTATACAAATCTCATTTGATTTGTGTGAGGGCTGTGATACTGCCCGGGTGCCCAGCAAACTAATAATCGTTAATGGTTAATGTTAATGGTTTAAATATTCATCAAAAGATAGATAAGGAAATTATTATTGGGAAAGGATGGTTCAGTATAATAAGATAAAATGTTGAAATTAAGATTAAATGTAATCAGGACGATTATAGAAACGATTATTAGTTTACCTGTTTAGAAAAATAATTTTAATACCTTTATTTATTCTACCTCACTGTCATTATGTCTAACAGAGGTTTACTATCATCCTGAAAAAAGAAGTATATATATATTTGTGATTGTACATCCTTGAAAACGAATTCACCGAAAAGCAGAACTCTTCACTAAATCAATCTTTCTTGTTTAATGTCTTAATGGGTGTGTATCTCGTTTACTAATTTCATACAAACACTTAATATATGGATCCACTTGGATTAATTCAATCACTTATTATAATGATAAATAAATTTTGCTATTACAGTTGGGATATTAGAAAAATATGATCATTATGATTAACAAAATATACGTATTACGTATGTCCAATCACTGGCTACCTCAATGACCGTTGTTAGCTGGAGGAAATTCATGAGCAGGCAAACTAAAACTTGACATTAATCCATCAAGTTATTGACTATTGCGGAAAAGCCGTGTAGATGAATGTAGAATCTAGTAATTAACGGTTGGAGACGTTAGTTGATATGGCTAAGAATTGGTTAAATTTGAACAGATGAACTCACTTATTTTCTTTTCTTAAATCTCGAGTTTTAAAAGATCTTTTCCTAGCCCACGAATTAATTCTTTCTTCTTAAATTATATTGTCTATGCATAATGTATTCAACTATCACTGATACAGTTGCTGTTTTTACTACTTTAGGATTCATCTTAATAATTTCAGATTCCTGTGATGATATGGATATTGATGCCAGATTCTACGTCCCTTGTGACTCATTGATTGGCTAATTTAATGTTTATCCATGGATTATAACTGGAAACAATTGTGAAGAATGTCCCGTTAAACTTAAATTTTGTGTTAATTAGTTAGCGCTTATCATTAGCCTCATTCTTTATGACAGTCAGAGATATTATCAGTGAGCGACTGACCTCCTTCAGGTCGATTTTTATATGGGCTGATCACTGAGTAGTAACCAGCATCATGTTTATCTAAACCCTTAGTATTGATTAGATACTATCAATCAAGTTGCAGTGTGGCTACTACTGGATAAGCATAACATTAGTCGCTATTCAGTTATTTCGAGTGTAACTGATAAGACGTTTCAGACAGGGATTATTAAATTAGAAGGAATATGGTTAAAATTTAAAACTTCAATAGTGAAGTAAGGCTAGGAGCAAACATAAAGGTGTCTATTATTCATAAATCAGAATAAACATGAATTCAGTGCATTTGACACTTATTATGAGGTAGTCTAGACACATTTTCCATAACCTCCGATTGGATGTTTATAGAACATGTACATATATGGCTTCAAAACCAGTTAGTTTCAACTGTTTCGATAAACATAGGAAGTCGAAAACCATGTTAATCAATAGTAAAACATATAGTTGAAATGGAGTATAGGATAAACATCAACATCAACTGACAAGAACAAATTCTTAGATTTGTGGAAGCCTTGGCTATTGAAAAATTCAAACTTCCTTTTTGTGTACAGAAATAATTTGTTGTAACCTTGACATCTAGCCTAGGCCATTTTATAGCCTAGGATAGTGTGACGAATTTCTGTTCTTTTAATATGAACTTTTTCATTCCTTTTGTTTAAAATGACCCCTTTGTTTATTTGAATTTTATTAACTTTCATGTAAAAAGGAATTAACAAATATTTATAAAAAGTTTGTTCGAAATGTACAACGCGAATATATTAAACTTTTCAGATCAACTCCGTCTTTTGATTGCTCTATTAAAATTTATAAAAGGGACTAATAGGTCTTCCTAGCACTAGACATATTCGTGATACACGAAGTTACTCACTGTTGAAGTGGAGATTTCATGGATGAAGTTGATATATTAGGAATTAATGATTAAAAAACTGTAAGCCAAGTAGCTCAGTGGCGCGGATATACAAGTGTTCTTCTAAAACGTGAACAAGTCATTCCTCTGTTGGCGTAAAAACCGTCGTCACTTTTATAACCTGGTTATAGCTAAGAAAATAGAAAGATGGATACACAAGCAAACTCGACGAAAAGATATATTCTAAAACTCTCAAATTAATCTGTACTGGTCTCCCATCAACTTTCGGCTCGACACCTAAACAAGTGAGAAAACATTGGGAAGTCAAAGGGTCATCTCGTGATCCATAAGTGAGAAAGTCAGTATTTATACATTTTTAGAGTATCCTTGGGAATCACTCATCTAAGATATGTTTTGTAGAGCCTGGCTTGACGGTAGGCGAGTGATTCAAAATGGTAACCGTTAAAAATTCCTTTGTCGAATTTTCGGGAAATAATATATTTGCTTTCCTCCCATTTCACTTCATTTAAATCCTACTTGATATTTATTTAACTTTCCTTTGTTAAGCACTCCAACATGAGCCAATGCACTGCAGAACATGGCTTCGCATAATTAATCGTCCATCCGTACCTTCCAAAATCACTACTTCATCCAGATCGTCATCTTAAGTGAGTAGTAGTAGCAGTAGCAATTATTTAACATTAACAATATACATACGTAAAATGATAATTAAAATAGCAGTTCAAACAAACTAATACTAACCTTTGATACTGGAACACTCATAATAAGAATTATTGCCATGAGAAATTTTTCTTTCACCAAATCATTAATTACTTGTTTACACCCCTAAAAAACATACGCAATTAAATAATTACTGGTAATATTTACATGAATTTCTTTATAGGATGTTCTGGAGATTGTTGAATTTGAAGTTTCACATTTTAGACCAACTATGGTCAGACAATTACTGGAAAAACAGGAAGCACTGAACTCATTAACAATACATATCTACGTACACCTCCGCTAACAGGGTCGATTTTAAGATCTTTAGGACACTTTTGGACTATTAAGTTGGCATCCAGTGACATACTACTAGAAAGGAAAACCTGTCCAGTGCATTCGGGTTTTCAGTGACTGTCTAACTGAAGTCAGTCCATGATGTTAAGCTATAAGTTATGTAAATATTCTAAAACAATCGTTACACATACAAATGATAAGTAAGAATAACGAGTTGGTAAAACACAAAATTACTGGGAATATTTCAACCTTAACAAACATTCCCAACAGATCGTGTAATTTCATATCTTTAGTCATAGATTTTGATCATCGTACAGATTGTAATCTGAAAGGATTGATTAAACAGTACAACACTGATCAACCAATTATATTTAATATAGTATTTCTTGAAATTTTTCGAATTTAAAACACCGTAACAAATAATTTGTATCTACTTTATCAATAACTAGGTAAAACCTTTCAATATTTGATTATAAAAACACTTAACATAGATAAGCATACCAAAAATAAACTTGTGGTGTATGCTACTTATGTCTATCGAAATAAGTAGTATGTAACACCAACCAGGAGTGGAAAACCCGGTAGCAGAAGGCTAAGAAGATTGAGTTAAAAAGAACAAAAGGTAAAATAGAAAGAAATTGTTGAATAGAAGGATCTTGGAGAATGTGAAGGACAAATGATGGAAATTCCTAAATGAAGTATTTAGTGTATGAGCCTCATATTTTACCAAGGGATTCTGTAATCTTGTATTTAAATACAACCGGTTGTTCCCGCTTAAGTCTTCGTTTATTACAAACTGATTGTTAGAAAGTAACCAATTTTTTATAAAAAAAAAAGATAATGAAACTAAAGTACATATTATATTTTAACATGATTCACAAACTTAACATAAAGTTTCTTGAGCTTTGAAATCAAAGAGCTAACTGTCCATTTGACTACAATGTGTCCTCTCATCTTAACGTTTTTAGTATACTACAATAAATTATTTATTTATACTACTTGAGTTATGAATGCTTAATGACTGGGCTAAGTTCGAATGTTAATTTTCGAGTCGCTTAAAGTGGTAAAGAACAGTCCTGCCGAAAAATTCTATGTACAGTCTTGTAGACTTCTGACCTAATCAACCTATTGATGTCATGCCATATGGTCTTAAAGTAGTCCTGGAGGCTTAGTGGTTATAGTATTCGAATTTAAACCATTGGATTACACATTTGTACCACGCTTAACCCTTCACATGGTGTGATTTGAAGTCAAGTAAATAAATTTATACTTTGTGAGTTACAACAAAGGTAGCATTGGGAATAACTGTTGAACAGTCCATTTCTTATTCGGTACACAATCCAATTTCTAACAAACTCTGAAGAAAAGATAAATTTTGAAAAACAGTGAATAATCCATCCTAAAAGTGAGTTTCATGTCAGATATATGTACAAGAGGAAATCACTGTTAGTCAAAATGAGACCCAAGAGATGAAATAGCTATAAACACCCACATATTTGGCATGGAAAAAAATTCTGTAAGACATAAAGAAATAGGAGAACTCTGGAAAAATGCACATAATTGACCTATGAAAAAGTAAGACAGGTTACTTTTAATCTCTTGTCTGATAAAGAAAGGTGAAGGAAGAAGAAACAGGAGGAGAAAACATAAATCTCTACCTTCTACTACCACCATCATCACCATAATCAATTTACAAATTATATTGCCCGAAAATGTCAAAAAAGGTAGAGAAATGCACAAGGTCATTTAGTGAATAATTCACTATATATGAATCCTTTGCGTTAAGTAAAAAAAGTGTAAGGCAAGTTATAAACTGATAAATGGCTTATACGTATACATCGATATATAGTTTCTGACAGATATATAACAAATGTGTGCATACTAGTTTATCAACCATGGAGCAAGGTATATAAGTTATTGATTAAGATATATCCTTGGTTGTGTTTGAAGCATTTGTTAATGTGGTTACCACGTATAATAGCTGAAACAGAACCTGTAACCCTCAGTCAGTAACAGATAACATAGCATCTAACATGAATATGAGTCACGTCAAGACCCCATAGCTCATCACATCAGTATAGAAAGTAATGGAATAATAGAGATGGAAAATAGGGGTAGACAAGTAATACTAACTGAAGTAGAAAGCTAAACACGATGAATGTAGCCTTGGGAAGATAAACGGAATAAAAGAATGGGGGATGGATGAAATTAAGCACAAAAGCAGGAAGAAGTAGGCTATCTGGTTGGGGCCAGAGCGATAACTATGACCAGTGGTTGGAAATATTGGGCGACACAGCTCATAACAGTGCAATAACTCAGAATCATTTACTTTTTATCCTCCAATATATGCTGATTTTCAAATTTATTATACACCTCTTATTCTGAAGATTTATTCAACCTTCTCGAAAAGAATTCCCTTCGCATGTTTTACTACTATTACTAGTCCTACCACTAGTTCGGCATTCACCTTGATAGTTTCACTTAGCTGAGCTGATGTGACGTACCAGCGTGGGCCGATGCACATATGCCAGGCTCTACGATGTTTATGGCTGAGTGACCGATTCCTCCACTAGTAGGTTAGTGTTTAGAAAACCAGCTTTTCAGCCAGTGGCCTTCCGGTTTAAACCCCACTGCATTTATTTCTGTCATGGTAGCTAGGAGAGTGGTAGAATCACTAACCCTTACACAACCAGCATGGCTAAGTCAGTCACCCATGGTTTTTGATCCTTCCATCCTTGTCTGGTCGATGAAATCTGAAATAAAATTCTCATAATGAGATATTTAACACATTGTTGGGAAGATATCTGTTAGGGGACCTTATCGATTTGAGGGTACTGTTAATAGCCACCCTCGTCAAATCATACTAAGGAAACAGGTGACTTCGAAGCATGTCACATGTTGATAGTAGTGACTCATTCACCACCAACGTACACCCGAGCACATATGTACTTCAGTCCAAGTCGCCATATTACGTTAACATAATTAAAAAAGACGAATACCAAAATACGTCAAAATAATATACCATAAATGACGTCGAGAAAGATTGGAAGTTGAGATTATTCGAAAAAAGAAAGCAGAAAATTATGTCTGAAGAAATACCGAAACTCACAAAAAGAGTGCATCCGTATCAATGTGACTGATCGTGGCCTAGATCACACAGTCCTTAACCATTGATCGCATTTATTAAGCGAGCCCTAACCACGTAATTTGTAGCTATCTACTCAGCTCAAACCAACAGTCTATGAACCCATCGACTGATTCAATATCTTCTTTAGTCCGACCCTAACTTTTTCTAGCTCACTCCCGCACAAGCCAACATCACCCGTTGATGTAAACGTTATTTTGGTATACTTAACACATATTCTAACTACCTCAACTGATGAATAACGACAACTTCATCAACACTGTGAATAAAACTTGAGTTTTTACATCTGCGATTGGTGACATAATGCCGATTCACCGGTCTTCATTTCCCAATTTCCTTCAGGGTTTCGCACTACGCGTCCTGTGTTTAACTTATCTTAACTAATACGAATACCACTATTAATAATTTTCCTGTTTGTGCTTCGTTAACTTCGTTTTGTTATTGATAATTCGAGTGTGCCAACTTGAATCAATTCATATTTGCCCTACATGTTGTAATGATTAAGACTAATCAAGAACTTTGAAACTATTTCGCAATCGAGTTTTGTAGTAGCATAAAGCTAATATTATCCGATACAAGCTTAGAATACCTTATCGAGGGCATTTCTGACGTTATTAGTAGGTTTAAGATGTCAACCCAAAGAATGCACTGTAGAATAAAAAAGTTAGTCATCATCAACGTAGAGCCTGAGACAGGTGTATGTCTCTCCAAGTCTATGTGCCACAATAACACAATGAGATAAATAGCAGAGTCAAAAAAAATCTTAATAAAAATGGCAATGAAAAAAACTGAATATTGGTAGTATAATACGGAAAGATAGAGTGGAAGGTTATGTATGAATAAGTGCTAGAATTCAATATCGAGAAGATAAAAAGTGCAAGCACCTGCACCATAGTAAATATTTTAAGTCATATTGGCCAAAGTTACGCTGTACAGTTAAGCTTCGGTGATGATCGGCAACCTATATTCCACGAGAGATAACAGACGTAGGTAAGTGATGGTGAAATCGAGCTTTCTTTTCCCATATACAGACATATTAACCAGTATTGGACATCGGACGTAAATGATGGTTAGGGTTGAGTACCATATGTCCTAACCGCTTCAACGACCCATGCTTTTTTTATCTAATCCCCTGAATGTAACCGGTTAACTAGAAGTAAATAATTCGGGTTTTTTTCGTTTTCTAACTGCCTTGGTTATTTACTTTCAATCGACTGAGTGTTGTAGTCGAAGAAGTAGTATTACGAACTGTCGTCAATCATAATTATTACAATAGAAACAAGTAACTACCTATTATATAGTTCTAACCAATTAGAATAGTCGGAAGCGAGGAACCGTTGACTTATCCACTGACTGTTCACACTCTTAGCAGAAAGAGATAGATAGGTTACATATTTGTCTGAATTATTTGTTAGAATTGAAATAATAACATCAAGTGTTGGTATATTAAAACTGTAATTAGAAAATCAGTCATAAAAAAACAATGTAAACCAAGCAGTGGTACGTAATGGTTTGAGTTGTTAGATTTCCCAAGACGAGTGAAGTGATTAGCACGCTCAACCATTTCATTTTCTATGGTCAAACTAAGGTATTGACACAATAGAATATCGGTGAAAATTTTATTTGATGAAAACCAACCATTTTAACAAAACGGATAAGCAATCACAATTCATTTAGGAGAGAAATTATACTTATCACCTACTATAGTGTACGAGGCAGATTTGTCTGGACAATTTCGATGCTTCGGAATACAACATGATAATGGGACAGTTAATCCTGGATAATCATTTATTCCGTTGATACCACAACAATGAAGCTGTAGAAGCAAAAGAACAGAAAAAAATGAAAAAATGTCAATGAAAACAACTGCGACTGTCTTATTTTCTAATAAAATTACGAATGAATTGAGTTTTATAATCACCTTTATAAGTGATTGATCATTTAGTAGTGAACAATGTCATGTTTGTCCGGAGAATTTTTTAACGCTGATTGAATTCTATCAGGTAGTCGGCAATAAACCCTGCACTAAAGTTTCATTTCAGCTGGCACTCCTTAATAAGGAGTGCCTGTAATCTTCAGGGAACTGGCGCTTCCAATGGGATTCGAACCCGTGTGACCAGACTAACGAACAGTTATGTGACAGTATTCGTTACGGAATGAGCCTGACCTGGCTCAACTTTAATCTTTTATCATAAATTTAATTCCGAATTCTGCGTCTCCATCACACATTTAAACCTTTTAGTATAATATTTAACTAGAGTGATGAGAACAAAAGTTTAAAAAGTTTTCTTTATGATCCAAGAAATACAAATATTTTGAGTGGCTTGTACAGCCCTACTAGTGTTAGCTAGTGAGCGAGTGAAGGTCACCAGTTTTGTTACACAGTTGTAACGTCAGGCAAGGAAATATTTACCCTGCCATATAAACAGTTGCATAGTATTGGTTTAGTGGTTAGATTTAATGACATGTTGGAATTTGCGGATCCTGTAATGTGCATCGGCTATCATTAAGTGTACCATTTTTCTTCTACTTTGCTCAGCTATTCTCCATCCCAATGGGCAGTTGATCAGTCAGTCATTCAGTCAGTAACAACGTAGAACTTCGTACTTACGTACATCAGTTCGAGTTGCCACACCACATTAGCACAGAGATGCAGTTGTCGACTCAAATCCCATAGTGGTAGAGGTTGTAAGAGTATAAGCACTAATCGGAAAGATTAGGGTTTGAAGATGTTATTCAAAGAGTATAATCCAGTGAAGAAAAAAGGAACACGAATTCAGATTAGAATTTGGGAGAACACAAAGAGTGGATGCACCTGCGCCATTGCAAACGATTTTGAGCCATGTCATTCAAGATCTCTAACCATTGGTTGCTATCATCTCGCGGTCCCCAACCAGGTAGTCTACACCCACCAACATGGCTCAGTCCACTTGTCAATGACTTCATGGACTTGTGCCATGGTGGGCAGTTGGTTGGAGGTCTGTATCTTACACTTGTTGGTAGAACATGCTGACGAAGACATTCGTGGAGAAAACACAGTTGTTCTAGAGTGGAAGTCTACCTTTTGGCGAAATTGTCCCATTTTCGAACAACGAGAAGCGTACTACGTTCATACGATTTTGAGATGGTGGAGATTTGTAACTCAGGTGGATGATTTTGATACGTTTGTTTTGTGAACTGGATGGTTTGGTCGTGGAGCTTTCATCGTTTGTCTGAACGACATCATCAGCACAAACTTCAGGTAGAAGCTCCACGACCAAACTATCCAGCTCACAGAAAACTTCATCAAAAATGATTAAATTGCTCGACTTTTAACTGGTGCGTTACAAGGCCGGAACTTGCACAACCTTATTTGCACCGCATAGTCCAGAAGTATCATCAACCCCCACACTTGCGAATATGGCCAAAGTCGACTACACGACCCGTTACTTGGTTGTTGAGTCGTACTGATAATATCACGACTCAACTGTGTTTCAAACTCAGAACAAAATTTTCAATAACATGAAAAATGTTTGTTTCACATTTTCCAGTTTTTAGTAAATCTTGATCTTACAGCTGTTTCAAAACACAACCTTCTGATTAATTGATATGCCCTAAATTAATCCTATGAGATTGCTGACAAAAAATAGGTTGACGAAAGATAATATTCTAGACAAAATTTCAGTGGCCATATCTACTGAAAAAACATCAGAGAATTTAAATATTAGGGGATTTACATCAAAATTATATTGTATCGTCATTTTTGCTTCCTTCGTCATAGATTAAAATTTAATTTGATAGCATATAACACCAAAATATAGAATAAATTTCAATTCTTTTGGTTATTAAACAATGGTGAATATGAAGAAAACGTACGCTTTTTTGTATCCAATCACGGTAAGAATCACTTTTGTCAAAGTTTTCATCAACTGATTCATTTTTAAATCGCATTATAATATTTTCTAAAGCTTGAATAATCCTTCTTTCCGTCTAGTATAGGTTAAGTAGTTACAATTTACTTACTTCAACTTTAAATACTAAACACAGGGCTGCTGTAGCTATTTCAACTCCGAACATAATAGTTAAACAAATAGAGTATGTTCCAAGTAGGCAGCGAGATTCATGATATGCTCCACAACATCCAAAAACAGCCACAACAATCGTTAACAAGCCTAGGCCGATAAGAGCATATAATAAGTTCTGCATTTTATCGGCATGTCCAGAACGAGATACTGCACTTTGAATTAATGAATCCACATAACAATATACGGCAAAACATAGTATTGCGGCACCAATTAACTATTAATAGTGAGAATATATTGGTAAATATGAAAATAATTAATCCATGTGCAATCGAGAAAACTTAAGCGATGACTGATTTTGACAGACTAAATAGATCGGTTTAATAATAAATAGGTTTGGTCCACTAAATGACTGAAATAACCGTAAGTTTTGAATAATTTATTAGCTTGTTAGCCGTCAAAACACTTCAAAATAACATATGTGGGAATTAACAACAAGAACTGTAAAAGCTAAACTTAAGTACTTTGATTTCAAAACAGAACGGAGGGTCATAACACCGACCTCTAATTTCTATAATAAAATTTATCTTAACCAAAGACGGCACAAATATGTACTGGCTCAAGTTATCACCTTAAAGTGGGACAGAAAAAAAGAGGACAAGAAAAACGATCATACCAATTTGATTAAAAAGTTGAACGAAAAAATTTGTGGTCGAAGAATGGGGTGAAAAAACATGTCCAGCTAATACACTTTTATAAACAACTCAGTTCAGCAGCCAATGACTTTATGGTTTCATTGTGAAATCCCTTCTTTTATTTACTTATCCTATCAAACTTACTGGGCAATGAGTTCGGTTACTTTTTTGCGAGAAACGTTTATTTGATTTTCCTTGTTCAGATGTCTAATTGATTAAACATTAGCTACATGAAAGGATAAGTGATTCAGTTAGTCAGTAAGGAGGACATTTTGTTATCTTGTTTGGTCTCTGTACTTTTATAACATAAATACAACAAATAACACAACATTTTTCGAATGTAGACTTTTCTTTTCGTGTACAAGCGTATATCACCGAAGTCACAAATAAAATAAGTATATATTTTAAGTCAAACAAAATGACTAAGTGTGAAATTTCGAGTATTGTAGGAACTTGGGAATTAAAAACAAGGAGCAAAATTTTATGGGATGATTTTTAAGACCCTGTACACTCAGCTTAAAATTATAAATATAATATTAAAGATTCTTCGTCACTATGTTAAGAAACGTTTACCACAGTTAATCACAGGCACGGACATATTTTTGGATAAAATTTTGAGATTATTTATTTACTTAAGTGCCTACGGGGATAAATTTCTGCCAAACTCATTGCAAATCGGTTTTCTCTTCTATATCGTCAATTTGTAGACTTTTGAGTCAAACAATGACTCGTCTCCCTAGGGAATCGTCAGTCAGTCAGTCAGTCAGCTACAACGTAGGACCAGGCACATATGTGCATCGGTCCAGGTTGCCATACCTCATTAGCACAGCAAGATGAACACCGGATTCATAGGAGTGGTTAGGTCAAAGGTTGCAATAAGGATATAGTATAGGAAGAAAGAATTAGTTCGTAGACAGAAAGAATGAAGTGATTTTAGTCTCTTAGTTTAAGGGAAGACAGGGAGTGTATACACCGACGACACTGTGATCGATTCTGAGCCATGTCACCAAGAGTCTCCAACCATTGGTTACGAAAGTCACGCGGACCCCAACCAAGTAGTCTGCATCTACCAACGTGGCTCAGACTAGAAGTTAGTGACTTCAGGCACTGATGCCACGTTTTGGTTTGGCCGCCCCTAACTTTCTTCCAACCATCCCCAACACCCGCTAGCATTGCACGTCGTGGTAATCGGTGTTCAGGCATACGTAATACGTGGCCCAACCATCTCAGTCGATGAAGATTCATAACCTCATCAACTGATTTACCATCATTCCCTAATACCCTGCGTCTAACCTCACTATTACTTACCCGGTGATCCCAACAGATGCCAGCAATATTTCTAAGGCATCTGTGGTCAAATACTAGTAGCTTACGGATGTCTTCTACTCTTAAGGGCCATGTTTCGCTGCCGTAAATTAAAACAGAACGAACTGCCGCGCAGTATACTCGTCCTTTTATTGATAGACGGATATCTCGCCTTCGCCAAAGGTGACGCAAGTTGGCAAAAGCCAAGCGAGCTTTTCGAATCCGTGCTGAGATTTCGTCCGATACCAACCCATTAGGGCTGATCAGACTTCCAAGATAAGTGAAGTTATCAACGCGTTCGACTACTTCACTCCCTATCCTTAGTTCAGGTGTTGACGCAGACCAGTCCTGAAGCAACAACTTGCATTTAGAGGGAGAGAAGCGCATCCCAAACATTCTGGCATTGTTGCTTAGTGCTACCAGAAGACTCTGCATTTTCTCAGCGTCTTCACCAAACAGGACTATGTCATCTGCGTATTCTAAGTCGATAAGTGGACCTCCTGGAAGGAGATCAATACCCGAGAATTCAGTCGACGAGAGTGTTATTTCCATCAATAGGTCTATGATGAAGTTAAACAAAAATGGAGAAAGTGGACAGCCTTGACAGACACCACTTGAGGTTGCAAAAGTAGATGACAGTTCGCCATAAGCCCTGACTCGACTAGTAGTGTTCGAGTAAAGAGCCTTCACAAGGTTTATGTACTTCTGAGGTACGCCTTTCAATGACAGACACTGCCACAGAGTCTCGCGGTCTACCGAGTCAAATGCTGCTTTTAAGTCAAGAAATACCACCATCGTCGGACGCCGATAGGTATGCCTGTGTTCTAGAACCTGACGAATGGTGAATATGTGGTCGATGTAGCCACGACCAGGTCTAAAGCCAGCTTGGTTCTCTCGAGTTTGTAGTTCACGAGTCTTAGTTAGGCGTTTGATAATTATCGAGGCCAGTATTTTAGATACTATGTTTGTTAAACTAATCCCTCTGTGGTTGTCACAGGATGATTTTGACCCTTTCTTATATATTGGGACGATAAGTGATTGCGACCAGTCAGATGGGATAAAGTCTAATTCCCAGATCTTAGCTAAAATATTAGTCAACTTAATCGCTAAAATTGGACCACCATCCTTAAAGACCTCTGGGGCCAATCCATCTGGACCAGCTGCCCTTCCTCGTTTCAGATTAACTATAGCCTTTTGAACTTCAGCAAGAGTAGGGGGACCTATTTCAATGTTCCATTCACACTGTCTGGGAATGGAGGGTAGTTGTAGAGTAGCTGAAGGCCAGCTGAACTGTTCTCTAAAATGTTCCGCCCATCGTTCTAAACGTCTGGACTGGGAGCAGATGAGAGTATCATCTTTTTCCGAAATAATCTCACTTACACTTGACTTACTAATTCCAGTTTCTTTTATTAGTCTGTAAAGCTGTCTTGTGTTCCCTATAGTCGCCGCCTTTTCCATCTCTTTTGCTTTCGTTACCCACCACTGCTCACGGTCGTTCTTTAGACTTTTTCTTAACCTAGATCTGATTTGTTTTCGCTCTTCATCATGTTCAGGACCTGATGGGACGAGTTTGCGAGAATCCATCAGTGTGACAGACCTTGAAGAAATCCACTGGTTCCTTGCAACTCTGTGGTTTAAGTCACTAATAGATGTCACTGCTGTTTCCACAGCTGATTGTATGCCCTTCCAAGCAACATCTGGGTCAGCCTCGTCTTCACAACTACCTAAGTGTGACCTCAGTTGTTCCTGGAACCTACTTTTGGTTTTCTCGTTACTCAAATCAGTTCTAACGGGTCTTTTTAATATGGCTTTTTTGCGTCCAGTGAGGCGCAAGCAGATGCGTGCCCGTATTAGGGCATGGTCGGAGTCCAAGCAGGTACTCCAGAATGAGCGACAATCTTCTACCGACCCTCTCCAACGATGACTGATGGCAATATGGTCTATTTGAGTCCATCGTTGGTTTGGTGTAGGGGGTCGCCATGTTAAACGATGTCTCTCCTTATGCTTAAAATTTGTGTTTGCTAAAAATAAACGATTGTCTGAACATAGCTGCAGCAGACGCTCACCATTGTCTGTTCGCTGTGTCGGAATACTAAAATATCCACCTAAATGCCCTTCTGTTTGGTTTAAACTGCCTATCTGAGCATTAAAATCACCTGCTACGAGTACTATGTCTGAGCGTTTAGCTTTCTGAAGAAGTTCGGACAGCTTTCTGTAAAATTCATCTTTCACATCATCTGAGCTGCAGTCAGTGGGAGCGTAGGCAGAAACGACAAAAAGGCAACGACGTGTGTCCCTATCCTTCCGAGTTCTTACGTAGCCGTTCAGCCGAACAGCACATAGACGACTGTTGACGGGGATCCACTCTAGCAGTGCTTGTTCGGCCCTCATGCTTAGTGCTATGCCTACACCTGCCAGTCCACGAGAACTTGCCATCGGGTCACCAGATACACGAAGGGTGTACCTCGTTGGCTCTCCGTTTTGCCGAGGTGAGGTCAGGTGAATGACCACACTGGAATCCTGTATGCGTGTTTCGGAGACACAGCAAACGTCAATGGTAAGAGACTCTAGGGTTTTAGCCAAGGAAGCCTGCTGACCAATTTGACATAGGGTTCGTACGTTGAAGGCTCCAATGTGTAGTTTGGAGCGAGGTTTCAGTAGACCTGGGACAGTGTTTTGAGTACTAGAATCGTTGGCTATGGTGACACTTGAGGTGGAAGCCGAGGGAGGAAATTTGAGGTTGAAAGTCGATGTAGGAGGAATAATAGGAATTGAAGAGGAAGGTTGATTATGAATACAGTGGTCTTGAGTGCTGTTAGAGGTATGAGGGCGGTTTTCACTTCCCGGTTGCCCACACCGTGGAAGGGTTGTTCTGGAGGTACCTGAAAAGGAATTTGGATTAAAGGTGGTCTTAGTGACCTGAGAGCGTGACCGCAGTGCCCAAGGGACAACTGCTTGAGGTCGGTCACACACGACCTTGTTATGGGTAATTTTTGTGTTAGCTCCGTACTTATTGGGACCTTACCGCCGGAGACGGATATCCGTGGGATAAGGCGAGGTGTGTATTTTTAGGGTCGACCTTTTCTAAACCCACCCCTCCTTGTGGGAAGGCAGCATCGCTGTCATGCTGGTTGTCTGAAGGAAACACCTTACTGCTGTCACACCTCTGTACAGTCAGCAGTACGACTTCGCCTTCGGACCTTGGGTTTGTTGCTTTTAGTCTTACCGCTCTTCAACCGACCTGTCTGACATGGTAGGACCTTGAGGAACGGTTGTTCCAGCCAGTATAGCTCGGTTGCTTCATCACGATAGGCAAGCCCGACCACCACGTCAAGGTAGCAACAACGGTCGGGGATAGCAACAACGGTCGGGCCCTAGGGAATCGAAAGCAGATAAGATCGAAAAATCAGTCACAACACTCAACAGGAACTCTGGCTGTATATATATATCTCATAAATGTCACCGACTAGGTTCTCTGTTTGTTTAAAAGGTATACTATTTGAGTGTAAGCTTGGATAAGTTAAAATGAGTAATCAACCTCAAATTTCAAGAATGCATTGGGAAGCAGTTTGCTATTTCAAAAGTATCTGAAAGAATAAGAGCAAAGATCTCCCGTAATATTTATTCGTAAATCATCTCATATATAAACCTTTTTATCAGGGTATAATACGACCTTCAAGACACTTTACACAAGAGTATAATGTTATAAAAACAGAAAACAAGATGACAGAAAATGAGTAACAATATGACTTTTTCAGTCCATTGAAACTACTGATGAGGTTGAAATGTGAACCGATCTCAAGTCGTTAGTTAATTATTCATTTCCTGCTATAATAATGTGGGCATTATATGTAATTTATGGGCAATCAATGGGAATCAATTAATTGATTTTAACGGTTGGATTCATGAGTCAATCTAAACTAGACCGCCAGTGAAAATATGGAAGCACTGGATGGCTGTTTCGTCTTAGTATGTAGTCGTGGATGAGAACTGCTGAGGAACCCCATACTAGGACTGCATAGCTATTCAGTGCTTTCAGGTGGTTTAGCTTAGATTGGCTTATGAATTCAACTGTTGAAATTAAAATCTCCAGATATCTCTATTCTGATAATGATTAATTTTACCCAGAATCTTGAAAAAGCAAGTTATTAATTTCATATGAAACCTGAGACAATTTTTCATTCTTGTTTTATTCCTTTGTCGTGAAACGTATTAGGAAGTGTAAATTTATGTAGTAGGCCTCAAACTAAGCTTATATGTGATGGGTAATGTCATCCAGTAACCCTGACTGAAGCAGAACTAGAGGTTCCGGCTTGACAAACTACGTGGTACAGTGACTGACACTAGAACCAAACACAAATCAGCTAAAATTACGGATACGATTAAAAACAGTTCTTAAATATGTCTAACAATTTGCCACGACACACTATAACCTCAGATGTTAATCAGAACTCGATACCCGTAAAACAAGTATTGGTACCAGAATGCTTGGGCTAGTTTATGTTAAAAACTAGAAATACTCTATGTTTTTAATAATTGCTAAATTCTAAAGCATACATTATTTCCGTCTAGATAAAACTACCGTTGAGTGAGTGGATATGATTCTCGCGTCCAGACAATCGAACAGTTACATCCGGTCTTTGCACCAACCTCTCTATTCGTCTACAATCCCCTATATACGTACAAATAAGAAAGGTTTATGTAAATTCACCATTTGTTTGACTGATCAATTACACTACACAGACGATGACCGAGGTTAAAAACGGTAGAAACTTCCCCAGAGTATGTTATTTATTGAACGTACGTGTTCCGAATATGTGATGAAAGATATATCATAACTTGGAATATTTATTCATGCCCAAAGAATGAAAAATAAATCTTTAGTTATATTTCAATCAACTAGATGAACACAATAATACTAGGAAACTAATCTTACGGTTCTGGAGAAGAACGCACATCGAAAATATGTTCAGTACTTAGTCACATGAATATGGATTACGGAGACTTACGAGAAATATTACATTAAACGTCATTAATGAAACGACGAGAAACGTAGTACATCCTCTACCCATCTTCCCGCCGCTAAAGGTCGTGGAAGCGAAACGTTATAGGTTATCTGATTGTTCAGAAAAAGTAAATAACCCAACTGTGAATTTGGACGTTAGGTACTTATGACGTCTAAGTTTATTTTGTTTTATTTATTTATCTTCATATAGTCTGATCATATGTCATTCCCAGGCATTAGTAATCATAGTTTTAGTTGTTGATTTCTATGTCATTTCCAAGAGCAATGTGTCAGCTTGAGTCAGAACTAACATCTTCAAAGCAAAATGGGAGAAATTTCATACCCTTTGCACTCAGGGGATTGGACATTAGAACCAGAATCCTTCTCTGAAAATGGTTGGGAATTCGCAAATATAAGTTAACACATTAAACGCACTTCGGAAAAAAAACTACGTAAATGAAAAAATCCACATCATGGTTCAATAAAAAGTGTTCGTGTTCTTTACTTTGAGAGAAAGAGAAAATGAAGAGGATTAAAGTTCTCAAGCTTAATTCTCACTAAGGTTTTGTATACTGTGGTGAACATGGTAGTACCTAATTTGGTGAGTGTTTGTCTTTTAGCCAATAGGGTTCTAAACCCCTTAGCTCCAACCTCGAGGCAGTGCGCCGTCGTCTTAAGATCATGACTCACTGTTACCCCAAGATCCTTGTGAGACTGGACCACGGGTACAAGAATTTATATGCTGTACCTATTTATCTTTGTATCTTCAAAGTACATGTAGACACAATTTGCCGCGTTGATAGACATCAGCCACTCTTTAGACAACTTAATCACAATATTTAAGTCTGCCTGCGGTGTGCATATATATACGCCTCCTGTTGTTTCTCGACAGATGTTTACGTCATCAGCGTATAGTAACAATGGCTACTCAGATATACTTGGAAGACCATTTACATACAGTAAAAAAAGTAAAGGACCTAGGACGGAACCTTGCAATACTCCACTAAGAACCAGTCTCCAGTAGGAGCACTTCAGATTTACTCTAACTTTCTAACCTAAGGAAATCTTAAAGGCATTTTCAGAGAGATCCGACAATGCCTGGATTTTCCAGCGTCAAGAACAGTCTATTTGTTGGCACCTTATCAAATGCTTTGTTGAAGTCCGTCAGGGTAGGCACACATCATTTTTACAGTCATGATATACGAAATTTAACATTAGTTTACTCACAGTAGGGTCATTAAATAGGTCAAATCGACAAAAGTAAATATCAGTATATCCGTGCAGATGCTTTGGAGCGTTAATGATTAGCTTTGTGCCTTAGTATTACACTGAGTACAGTCTTTAAAATATTTTTCAAAGCGACATCGCGTCCACGTTACACACTGGATCCATGCTTGGCATAAATGTGTTAGAATTCTGGTCATGCTAAGTATTAATGCGTTAAAACTATTCAAGTTCATAGTTGTTATTACGTAGACTTGCAGAGTGCCTGGTGTGAACTATGACCTTGAGAAGGCTTGTACATCAAGTTTGTTCCAGGCGTCAAAAGCTCCATGGCTGTGCACTGAGAGTGTGATGCTGAAAAAAGAGAAACAAAGGAGGAGTAAGGCACTTGGATATGAGCGCTAAACAATCCTTAACATTTTGTAGTGGAACAGACAGAGGTAGGATAAATTTGTAGATTAAACTCATACTAGCCCTTTTTGTTAAAATGGAATGTGATTAGAGCCTCTAGATGAGAGGATTCAATGATGAATAACAAGAACTCATTATATTTATCAAGTTGGAGTAAATTCAGATGATGGAGGGAAAGTAGAAATTAGAGTAAGGAAGGTTGGTTATTAGAACAGAAAGCGCTTCAACAGAGTAGTGTTAAGGAAATTAATAACTGTGTCTTTAATTTTTTGGACATCTTTAGATTTTTATATTTTTATCCATTTTATCCCAGCCACACAGCCCTAGTGTGAAAGTTCAGGTTAGCATGCTATAGGTTATTTTGACAGAATCGCTAATCCAGTATAATATCGTATGCTTGAGTCCGAATGGTGAGCTTAGGAGAACAATCTCTATATCACAGACTGATTGGCTCGTTCTCAATCATGAAGATCGGTATACTGTGGTATAACAGAACTAATTCAATATCTTGTCGTCTACATTTCAGCCTGCAACGCACCCTTTCATATGTCCATGAATCGTGTGTCACTGTCTCAACAGCTCGTATGTTTAAGGCACTTTTCGTGTACAGGATAACCCCACCACCCCTACCGTTTAGTCTATCAAACCTGCTGGATCAAAAACCGATCGACTGAATTTAATTATCAAACACTTCTGACGTTAACCATGTTTCCGAGATAGCAGTGACATCCGTTTTTCGATAACTACCATTATCTTGAGCTCCACAATTTTATTTAGTAGGCTGTGAGCATTTGTGTAGCACATCTTTAATTCTGTGGAGAACTTTCCTTTACCACCCAGAATAATTGGGCGGTCGTTTTGCTCCGAACTTTTACAAATTGAAAACCCTTAAGTTCTATGTTTTTTCACCAGTTATTTCTACTTCTGCCGATCGGTTCGGAATAAAGTCAACCAGACTGAGGTGCTTACGGACGTATATTCCGGATCAAATAAGTTTGTGTGAGTTTCCCAGTATTAGGTTTGTTTTTTCAGCCGAAGTAACGTTAACCTGCAAAAGGCGGATTTCTGAGCACTTTAAGAATCCACCTATTGTCATGTTCTATGAAGCTTACATATTCTGACTCCTGAAACTGTTTCTGGGAGTAGCTTGCTTATTAAAGACTTGATGTGGTTGAGGTCGTGCTCAAATCTAGCTTTTAGTTCCTCTTCGAAAGATTATTTTAATTATAAAAAATCACCGACCTGTCAGCTGGGTCTGTCTTAACACGCTGTGTAATTCTAATTCCGGAAATCTCCCTGCAATCCGATTCTTATTTGGAGTCAGACACAGGTTTCAGTCTGTTTTCTTACTTTTCCCTTTCTGGCTGTGACTGTAAGCCAATCATTTACCTTATTTTATCTCTTGGTCAGATCCTCTACGCAGCTCAGATCTCCCCCCATAGTCTGGTTTGCGCTGATATGTGAGTCCGAGATCAAATCCGTAGATTCACATAGATTCCATCATCGACCGGGAAATAGCATGCATGTCTGACACAAAGATATTTCACTTGGGCCATAAAACTGTTTTGTGAGCTCACAGGAAGAAAAACAGCGAAAAGTGATCTCTAGAACAAGTATCTTTCAAGCCTTGATAGTTGATAGACACTGAACACGAATGAAATAGAGGTCTGTACGTCACAATAAAAAGATCCGACTTCAGTAGTTACAAAAATAGCCTGACGCCTTTGAACACAAACGATGCTAAATGACATATTCAACGAGGAAAGCAAATGCCAGTGCCTTTTTGTATCTGTACTCAAAATACAGATGATAAACTTCTCCAGAAAAAAGCGATACTCTTGGAGACTACTTCGACTGAAATAAATTCAACTAAAGCAAAAACAGTAGTCTTGATGCGTAATTAAAATATCAATACTATAAAACATACTCAGAGGAAAAACGCCGTTGTTCTTTCAAATAGAGCACTTGAGAACTACGCCCATGCTGCATGCTCCTGCTTCAAATTTGACTGAGATATCCTGAGAACGGTACGGAGCGCAGCTACCTGTGAACTAGAAAATGAACAACATAGGCCGTAGGCCTATTTTCTTTACTTTGCGAATCTGAGTCTGAACAAATCTGGAAAGTTACTAGAGACTGACAAGACCAAATCTCGAAATGGGTAAGCCAGGAATACAAATGTTCAAGCCCTATGTTAATCCTAAAAGAAGTATGAAAGAAACTGCGAATTATTCCGTGTAATTCATAACTAAACAAGGAAATAAGGGGAATAAGCTTCGACAATTAATGATGCGAAATGCGTAACATTACGAGTGGAAGACAAATTCTATACTTTCTCATTGCTTAGCTGTTATATTCAGGAAAGGAATCTTCATCGTTAGCAAAGATAAATTCTGCCTCATGTACTCTTATGATTGTGACCGCTAAAAACACAATATCTTTTCTAGTGTCTCGCTGATCTGATTCCAGTTCGAAAAAACAGACGAATACGCCATAAGTAATAATCTTTCGTCTAATTCCGTCACCATAATTAGGCGAACCTCGTTTCAGCTACCGGAGTAGTAAGAACCCGAACACGGTGAAGACGAAGCATATTAGATTCAGAAAATCATTTGACATTTAGTTCCAATTGCCTCTGTCAAATATTTGTAAATATCATTAAGCGAACTATAGTAAATTCTTATGGAAAGTTTATAACTCGTCATATTCTTAACTGAAGTTCCATAGGTAGTCTTAACTTTAAACTTGTCTTACTGGCCAAGGTAATTGTTTTTAATTGTTAAATACTTCATCAACCTGCATGTTAACCTAGCCTGCATATGCGTTGTATTATATCTTCTCCATTTCATTTGAATTTAATAATTATTTGAACCGCCATCGAAGTTTTCCACTAAACCCATCATAGTCGTTATTGTTATACGTCTTTGTGTCTAAAAAGACGTTTAACATAGGTACGGTAATGAAGTAACCTTGCTAAGTTAACTTACTACACCAGCATAATAACTAAACTAACACGTAATTGTTAGCCGCGTTCAGAACAAAACATTTGAGCGTATTATTAAAATTGATACTATGTAGGTGATCGCAATTAGTGATATGATCAGGCACCACGAATTCGTCAACGCTACAAATTTCTAGTAATTTTGAATCACCTAAAGCAACAGTACCTATTTCCCACTGGCTAATCCTCAATCAACAGTATGATGAGCTACTCATGATGGTTTCAGGCGATCGTCATACAGCATAGTCATGGCCCACTTTACTTTGACGAGGATTGCGTTATCCACCAGCTTGCGTCAAAATCGCAACTCGCGATTGATACCTAATGTGGATTGCCCTATCACTGAATCAGCATATCGTGTTTGATTTGCTGACTTTATAGCTAAATGTGAATGTTATGACAGGAATTTATTGGAAAGAATAATTACAAGAAAAAAGAGAGATCACTACCACACGCATCTCTCCATCGCATGCAATTGTTTG